CAATATCTCCTAGCAATTTCTGAAAATCATTATGAGTTCATAATTGATCTCTCCTGATTTGTACTTTCTGTGGTTGAATCGTTTGTAAACCTATCTTATATCCTAGGTAATTGATTTAATCTCCCCTCTATATCTTTTCAGGAGCAATTTGAAATCCCCAAGAAGGCAAACATTTCTTTACCTCTTCAAATATTTTTTTCTAAACTATCTGAGTCTGAATCAGCTAGTAAGATATCATCCATATAGTGGCAAATTATAGATTGAGGAAACTTTATGAATTATTTCCAATGGCTGTTGTACAAAATATTGACATGGGATGGGACTGTTTAGCATCCCTTGTGGAAGAACTTTACACTGATACCTTTAACAGGCTAGAGAATTTTATAAATAGCCACCATGAAGGCAAATTTTTCTCTATCCTGTTCTTGCAAAGGTATAGTAAAGAAGTAGTTTTTTTTTTCAAGACAGGGTTTTTCTGTGTAGCTTTGGAGCCTGTCCTGGAATTCACCCTGTAGACCAGGCTGGCCTCGAACTCACAGAGATTCACCTGGCTCTGCCTCCTAAGTGCTGGGATTAAAGGCATGTATCACTACCACCTGCCAAAAGTAATCTTTTAAAATCAATCACTATAATAGACCATCCTTTAGTTAATAAAGAAGGCAAGGGAATTCTAGGCTGTAAAGGGCCCATTGGCTGAATCACCTTATTTATGCCTCTTAAATCTGTTAACACTCTCCATTTTCCAAATTTCTTTTTCATGACAAATATCAGAGAATTCCAAAGACTGGTAGATTCTTCAATATGTTGAGAATTTAGCTGCTCCTGTATCAACTGTTCTAGTACCTGTAACTTTTCTGATGTCAAAGGTCTTTGTCCCACACAGACAGGTTTGTCAGTTAACCTTTTCAATAGTTGGGCTGTGGTACCTTTGAAAGATCACCAGCTGTTGTGCCCTTCTTATGTACAACCTGAACAGTCTGTGACTATTCTTGATAATACCTTTTAATATTTCTCTCAGAACCATTCTTTTATGGTTTGTTTCTGAGACTAGAGGAGTGTTAATCTGTGTTTTCTATTGCTGCAACAAATCACATCCCCATAAATTCTTGCTATGTTAGACCCATATGGTTTTAATTTTCCTATCTGCCATATACATTTTAT